ATCAGCTGAACTGTTCGTTGAAGTATTCTGCCGAGCGATCGATTCGTTGATCCCTATTGTGAATTGCTCGTCTATTGTTATCGCCGACCGTTTTCACCAACTGAAGTTCACCGACCATCGTATTGCGTGCCAGTCGGAACAGTCCGTGACTATTCCCTGATGCAGCTGCTGCTTCCATTTCACTAGCTATTGTTGCCCACCAGTTCTGACCGTCTTTCTTGAAGCTCTTTGTGAGCTGACGTTGTTGATGCCACCTCACTTTTTTCTTGAGGCTGGCAGGTCGGGATTTGTCGTTTTGATCCATCAGTGCTACAGACTCATTAGATATCCAATGCCTCCGACGGGTATGAGGCTCAGTTCCACAAGCAACATTCGCAGCGGAATGCATTGCTCGTCTAATCTGATCCCACTGCTCATTTAAATCATCATGTTGAGGCGCGCTTAGCTCATGCAATAATTTTGACTCAGCGTGCGCAAATGGCTGAAACAGATAGCTGATAGTGAGCTATCCGAGTTTGCTGATTTTGTCGTCGATCAGTCAAGCGAAGACTGAACTGCATCAAAACTAATGCGTGGTGAGATTCAACGGTGGTGGTCCAATAGGACCTGCAGTTTTGTACTGAGCCACGCCAATGGTAACTTACTGCCATGTGGTCCATTTGAGGTAGCCTACCGGTTGAATTGGAGCACCACGTTGCCGTCCGTCGAGAGCTGTTTTGGAAGTTGATGCTTGATAGGAATAGATGATGGTTTGCGCAGAAATGAAGAATTCGATCGCCGTTATCTGTTCGTTGGCTGGGCAGAGCATAACTACCGCCCAGGCAATCTTCCGATGCGATCAGTTTTCCAACCTGCGCGTTGAACTCACCTGCAAGTACAGCTATGTCGGAGCTTCGACTCATCCGAATGAGATCGGTGAGGTCATCGTAGAAAGCGTAGCAAGCGTCCTTTGGGTATCAGAACTGCAATTGGTCGGTTCATATGCTGATACGATGACCAAACACCTTTTGATGTTACTTCCCTTCCAGACACTGATTGAACCCTGGAAACGCAATGCACATAAACGATTGAGGTGGACCCAATCGATGAAAGAAGACTCCGCCGTGTTATTGAGTACAATAATTACCCCGCACTGATCCACTGAGCGGGCTTCGTCGTCGCCTGATGTGCGAAGAACATATCTCGTCGACAAATCTGGCGCGCTCAAGTGGTTTTTAGCATTAGGATCCTGGATCCGAGTCTCCCCCAGGATTTCATTGTACGCACCAGACAAGCTTGTTGACCTACCTGCATCAGAGTCCTCACATTGAAGGCCCCCAGATTCAGTGGTTGATGAGGCTTTAAAATCTGCAGTTCTTTTCTAGATACATTACTTACATTGCTATTGGGCAACGACCTTTGGCGAGCGACATCCAAGTTGCTTGAGACACTATTACAGGTCGTAAGAGGGGTAAAATGGAGAGGGCTGGGTACGGAAGACAAATAAATAAACCAAGGTTGGGAGAGTTGTATGTTCATCCATATGTATGCACAATTGCACTTTGTACTTTGTGTCTTTATCTTAGAGGTTCGCTTTCTTTTCCCGTCCTTAAAAATAGGCTCAATCCCTTTCCTGCCTACAAGTTCTCACTTACCTTGTATGGGTTGTAAGGGAAGTTCGCTTCACTGTGTTACACCGTACAATAATTATGATGATGATGAGTTAGTTCAAGGCAGATGTAACAGGTGGATTCTTTGAAGAAATGTTTGTGTTCCAAAACTAGGTGGACAGCGAAAATATGGTCGGTGCAACCTCGACCAGGTCTAAAACCAGTTTCATTTTTTATAACCATTAACACAAAGCTCATGCGGTCAATCCAGTTTATCTTGCATATGTCTTGAATAGTCGATTAGTACAACAGCTCGTAACAGCATTGAAGAACGGCCTTTACCATGTTCTCAGCTGTCTCCTGGCAGTTTTGGTAACTTTTTCCCCATCGGTGATTAAAGATAAAATAAATTAATCTTTGTTCGAACAGTATTCTCAATTATAATTTCTGTGTTGTATATTTTGTCATTCAATGATCTCGAATTGTTTGTCCCGCTCATTTGAAAGTAATACTGTTTGATTTACTCCGGCGCAACACCTTTCAGAGCTTAGACGCATGTGTTTTTCTTCCGCGAGGTGCCTTATCAACTTATCTTGGTGAGGAAATAACTTCATCAGCGGCTGGGTTGTTGATGTCCGGTGGACAATGGGGTTGTCTACGCGTGTGGAATCCAATAAGTGGGCGTTGCGAATTGGAAATTCGAGGACCTTTGGACCGCCGACCAAGTGCTTTAACACAAACCTCTGGAGTTACTGGTAAGGTCAATCGGGAATCCATTGAATACGGCCTGCACTCCATCGTTGACCTACAAGTTACCGAGGTCAAGCCGCACGAGGGATATCCAGCAGTGCCTGCTGATGATACGGGTCTTGTTCCCAAGCTCGTATTAGTTCGCCAAAGTAACCATGTGGAGTTTTACAATCCATCGACCGGCAAACTGATCTCGGAGGTAAGCATTTTGCTCGCTCATGCCTCCAAAATCTTTGTTATGTTTTTTTCCTGTATTTCATAGCGTATTGCAGTTGCTTAATTTTTTTAAAAATTTCACCCCAGAATATGACGAACATCAGAAGAGGTTAACTCCGTACTCACGAGAATCTTCTCTTCATTCATGATAACCAAGTATTGAAACTCGCTTTGAGCCAGACAATATAGAAACTGCGCACCACCAAAGTTGGCTGGCGGGATTCGAACCATAGGTACCGTGACCTTAACGTTAACTTTATGCAAGTACTTGTTAGAGGATGAGTTAGTTCTTTGCATATTACGATTCATTGCTTCTCGGGTTTGAGAATATCTGAGGGCAGGTAATCACTCTGTTTTTCTTCCATTGCGGAATTTCGCAGATCGACCAGAGGCGTATGAACTCTACGTCTTTCTTGGTGACGTTGATCCACGTCTTGAGGTGCCCACCAAGGCAACTGCGCCAGCCAAACCTGGGTGTTTGTTTGATTTGCTCCGTTACAGGTCGCTGTAGGATACGGGCGAATCGTTACAACCGGTGGTTTCTGAGAACGGTTAATTTTTCAACGCGATAGACTCGCAAAGGAACACCACGTTGACATGATTTAATGGCTTGTGTACCTCTATGACCGTATGGGCTGTACAGGATGGTTCTTATCCGGCCCCAAGAAAGGTCAGAGAGTAGAGGTCGGACATGGTACAACCTGCTGGTCCTCCAGGTTTGGGGTTCGACTCGAATTGGCGTCTCATTTCACAAATGGAGGTGGAGTAATCGTTCAAGTAAATAGGTTTCTGTTATGGCTTACAACTGACTGATTTGTGTTCATACATGCCTGTGGTCCAATCGATTGATCGATTGACTGACTGTTTGAATGCTGGCTTGACGGCATTCGCATATAGTGAAGCATGTGAGCCGGACTCCGCCTGCATTCCTACATACTGATCGTACCTGCTTGTTCCCCGGTTTGTGTTCGGGCTGCATAATTGCAGTTTACAATAAAATTACTACTTCATTCGTTGTGTGCTCATTTGCCTACTACAGTTTGGCACACAACAGTCTCCACTTCATTTCATCTGCTGCCCTGAATTTAGACTGTTTTCAGAACCAAAGGCTTTGGTTGAGATTCCTAATCGTTCTTTTACTTAGTGGCTGGACGCTATAGCAGGACTCACCCCTCAAACTCCAATACATACACGAACTGTGAAGAATTCCTTACTGTATCGGTATTCGCGCAAGATAATCAAGTCCGCGCTATCCACTGCATCGGGTGGTGTGTAGTGATAGATGGGATATCGCACAGATATACATACCTTTGTTTAATTCTTTGCCTTCTCTACCCAACCCTTTTCCTCT